ATTAAGTGAATCTGGCTTCCCCTATTGACTTTGCTTGTCAGAAGGTTAGGGTGACCCCGGGACACTGCAGCCGTCATAAATTGGAGTCAGTTGCCAAGTATCTGGGTTTCGATCATGTGACCACGAGGATGTGGCAACGGTCATTAAAGTGAAAAGCAGCCATAAGTCACTTTTTTTCAGTGTTATTGTAACTGTCATGCCCTTGTTGGAGGCTGACTCTGAGGAAGAGGAGGAACAGCCAACAGGGAGTGGGAGTGCGGCTCCGGAGGTGGTGGAGGAGGCTGGGGAAGGGCAGAGGCCGGCTGGGCAGTCAGAGGAGGACCCAGGCCCATTCCCTATCCATCCTAGGGCACACAAGGAGGAGCGGATCAGGGTAAAACATGGTCTACTCAGGAGGAGAGGGCCATGATCCTCTTCATGGGTTGCAGGTGTGAGATTTGTATGAGAGTTTGGACCTGCGTGCTAACAGACATTGGAGACAAATTAGTGTTTTATTCCTAAAGAAGGTTTATCTTGGTTGGCGTTCTTCCAACGGTCCGTCCCTGGTTATCTTCCTGAAGTTGGCAACTATCTATCCTGGTTTGTCAAGGAACTTTATTCAGTGTGGTTTGTTTTTGGTTTTTGCTTCGTTATCAGCTCTCTGAACGTGAACTCTGTTTCTTGCCTTTGAAATGTAATTTTGAAAATAGTTTACGCCTCCACTATGAACAATTAAACAGTGAAGCCAAGTTGAAGGCATTATTAAAGGACTTTTAATTATGTTTTGGATTTTGTTCTATTTCGGATATACTCTGGGTCATCACAGTAACAATGGTCACTAAATAAACTGTTGTAAGTCGAGGACTACCTATAATTCAAGTTAGGTTTTAGAGGCATGTTAGTCACTCCTTTCTCTTTGTTCTAGTCATATTTTTATTCCGCATTTCTTGGAAAACATGGAAACAGAGGGGGAGGGGAAGAAAAAGGGAGAAGACACATATGAAATAAGGGAATTTATGAGTATCAGAAAATTAGATTATAGGATACCGCTATATATTATACTGGGCTATATTATTATATTACTGGAGACTGTTTTGAGAGCTACAGCCCTGGTTCAAATCAAAACAAAAATATTAGTACCTACAGAAATAGTTATGTGAATCATAAAATAAAATTAAAAGCTACAGCAAATTATACCCAAGCTTCTGAATGTCTATTCTGATTTCTTTAGGACTAGCTCAGCATTTCTCAGTGTTGGCAACATTAAGAGGTATGAATTTCAACTTCCAGAATCCCCCAGCCAGGATGATTTAAGAGGGGTGGACTTCCACTCCCAGAATTCCCCAGCCAGGATGCTGTAGGATGGGTGGACTTCCACTCCCAGAATTCCCCAGCCAGGATGCTGTAA